TGGTAAACTGACCAGAGGAAACGGACATCTTTTTCCACTCTTGTAACTCTGGCCTCCTCCCCTGCCGGCCCCTGAAAGGGGCGCCGGGGGATTGGAAGGGAAAGTCTGCCTCGCCAGGTGCCAGCGGGCCAGCGCAGGGCAGAGTGACGTGTGCATGAAAGGTCCCCGTGGCCGCAGCCCCGCCAGGTGTTTGTGGGCCGGGGTCGGGGGCAGAGAGCGCCCATTGTTTAAGAAGTTGGCAGGTGCCCAGAAGTTCAACTGTCTTTCCTCGTTCTGAAATGTCAAACATTTCCTTAGCGGGAAGGATGGATGACTAGACCCCCTGAGGTCTAAGCCCTACTCTGAGGCAAGAGAAAGAAGTTCTGCCTGTCACACGTGGCCGAGCACCGTTCACGTCCTGCCTGTGGCCATCAGTGGCTCGGTCTCCAGTGTCCTCTAGGCAGAAGCCGCTTTCCGACATCTGAAATGTCAGGGGCTCTTCCCTGCCTCTGTCTTAAAGAAATAGCAGCTCCTCTGTGTCACATATGGGGGCGCGGATGGATTTTCTTCCTTTTTTAAAAATTTACTTATCAATGTGTAGTCAGTTTACAATGTTGTGTCAATTTCTGGTATGCAGCATAATGTTTCAGCCACACATACATGTACATGTTTTCATATTTTTCATTATAGGTTATGACAAGATACTGAATACAGTCCCCTGTGCTACAGAGTAGAACATTGTTGTTTACTTTATGTATATAGTAGTTAGTATTTGGAAATCCCGAATTCCTGATTTATCGCTCCCCTCTCCCTGTAACCGTTAACAGACAGGTTTTCCCATGATGCCTTCTGGTGATGCTTACTGAAGTATTTGTTGATGAAATCTGTCTGGGATTTGTTTCAAAATCATACACCGGGGACAGGGAGCAGGTGAGGGTATAGATGAAACCAGATCCACCACGAACTGATACTTGTTAAAGCCGGGTGCTGAATTCATCACAGTCCTGTAGGCTTTTCGTCTACTGTTGTATTTGTTTCAGTTTCCCACCTTAAAAAGCTGTTGGAAGGAAGAAGAAAGAAAAGGAAAGAGTTAAAAAAAAAACTCTTTTAGTGTTTCAGCCCAAAGATGTCCATCTGGGCCTCTGTGCCTGGTGAACCCCACACCGTGTCGGGAACCAGGCTCCCCCAGCCGGGCCCCCCTGGTGCAGAGTGTGGCTGGAGGGTCAGCCCCACCTGGATCCCAGTTCCAGCTCTCCCTCTGTCCAGCTGCGGGGCCTTAGGGAAAAGAGTTTGCCTCCTGGAACCTCAGCTTCCTCAGCGAAACAGACAAGCGTTATCTGTTGCCAAGGTTGAGCACCTGGCAAGCGGGGCCGTGCGAAGGGTCCATGCCCACCGCGACATGGCCCCCCGGCTTTAGAAAGATCCTTGGTCACTCTTTCCAAAACCTCCTGCAGAGGAGAGAGACTCCATTCAAGGAAGATGCCAGAGCTGTGCTCACATTCCAAATCAGCCAGAGTCCTTAGAGGATCGCCATGATAAGGTGTGTCAACATCTCCTCTTTGCCCCGGAGGAATCCGAAAGGCTGCCCTGGCTCAGCCTGTCACCTGCATCTTAGAACGACTTCCTCACTTGGCCCTCAGGCTCCCCAGTTTACTTAAACCTGCCGAGAGCCTCCTTCCCAAAGGAGCCCTGTTTGCTCTGAGAGGGTTTGAAATGGACAAGCCTTATTTGTCACTGCTATCAAAGTCCGCCTTTTCATCTCCAGACAAGAACCCGGTTTATCATGTATTATCAAGTTAACTATCGAAGGTGTCAGCCGGAGAGGTGCGTTTTCATTTCTCACAGCTGTTGTGAACCCTGTCATACCTTTCCTGGGGCACAAGTTTCTGTGACAGAAGAATTAGCAGCTGTAAGACGAGTTGCTGTGTTAACAATGGTTCTGATGGGCCCGGCCAGCCCCGCGTTCATGCTGCACTGTGAACCATCTCCAGAGCCCGGGGGCTTTTCCCTGCCCTCCTGGTGTCCCTTCAGGGTCTGAGGGTTGGGAGTGGCCTCTTTCTGAATTTTCTCTTTTCTCGGCCTCCCTGGCACATCTTCCCCACTTATCTCTCCCTGTCGCCTGTCCCTTCTGTGTCCTGCTCACTGGCTTTTCTTCCAGACATTCAGTGCATTCATTCATTTATAGAGAAAAGAATGCCTTGGCCCCTCATGTGCGCCAGGCTCTGTTCTGGATACTGGGGACGTGGTGGTGAACCCAGCGGGCCGTCCCCGTCACAGGCGCTCCCGTGCCGGTGGCGGAGGCAGGAGGGCACGCAGTGTGTTGGAGGCACCTAAGGCCAGGGAGGCCCAAAGGGACAGCTTCAGGAGCACAGGGCCTTCAGACACCATGAAGAGTTTGGGTTTTAAGCCATTGGAGAGTTTTGAGCCAGCCAGTAACCTGATCCGAGTCCCATTCCAGCTCAGTGGTGGGGAGAGGGTTGCGTCCAGAGAGCGGCGGGTCAGCCCCCTGCCGTGGCCCGACTGGGAGATGGTCGTAGCCATGGCGGCCTTGGGGCCTCTCCCCTTGGATAGCAGGCTTCATGCGTATAAACTCAAACCAGACGTGCGGTTTCTCCTCCCCAACCGGTTAGTGTTCTTGATTTCTTTGTCCTCATCACTCATTCTACTTTCGTCATAATCACCCTGACTGGAAGATTCAGGGCCACTTGTAAGGCCTCTCCTTTGGACCATCGCAGCCTCGGTCCAGAGCCCTCGCCGCACGGCTCCAGCTCCGATCCCGACTGAGCGCCAGTTCTGAGCCACCCCGCACCCTGCCTTCTCCTCTCTCTCCCTCTTCGGGGCAGCCTGGGCTCTGAGGGCCAGCAGATCCCTGGATGCCTTGCCTCGGCCTGTCTGCTTCCCTGTTTCCACTCTTGTTTAAGGAAATAGATTGCGCGATAGAAACCTTTCCCCCAAGCCAAGAAGTAGTGGGATTCCTCCCCAGGTGGGGCTTTTGGTCAACCTGAAGATGTTTCTAGAGGCAGAAATGAATGGAAAGATGTGCTCCTGGTGCTGCAAGGGGATGGACTAAGATCATATCCACAGCCCCCATTACTGCAAGCATCCTGAAATGCTGGGTACCATGTTACAACACCCCCTGCAATGTTACTGCATGGTTGGATTCACAAGGAAGAAAGGAAATCCCCAGAGGAAGGAAATGGAGAGAGAACTGGGGGCAGAACCAAGCGAGGAAGTGATGCCACAGCCGCCAGTCACCGGCCACCGTGACGCGGAGCAGCGACCGCAAATTCCGTCAAAGGCCGGATAGTAAATTCGTTAGGCTGTGCAGACCCCAGATGGCGTGTCCCCTCTTCTTTTTCTTTTTTGACAATCCTTTAAAAATATAAAAGCCATTCTGGGCTCATGGGTTGTAGGAAAACAGACCACAAGGCAGATATGGCCCCTGGGCCTCAGTTTGTAGACCCCCGATGTAGAGGCTTGGGTTTACATTTATGAAGACGGGAGAAAAAGAAAAACCTTAGGTCCCCAGGAGGCGGCGCTCTCATGCAATTGGCTCATCAGAGAAAGAAGGTGTGTTGGGAAAAACTCACCCACCGTCACAGGGAGATGACTCGGAAGCTTGCTGTAAATTTTTAAGTTCTTCCTCGGTATTTAAAACCATGGGTGTGCTGTGCTTACATGGGTTGAGTTTAAAATTGAACTGGTCTGAGCTACCCTGAAGCCCGAGGGTCTGGGGGTAGAACTCGGCGTCTGTGAACTTGGGTGAGAGAGCTAATGGCCTCCTTGTTTTCACAAACTTCCAATTGAGATTTGGCATTTTCTTCAAATAAGAAGGTAGGTCACAAACCACGGGAGTTCTAATACTGCTTATGACTTTGTCACAATAGAAACCACAGACATTTTCACGCCAAAATATGGTACATGCAGTATTCTCCCAGAATTTAAAAAACACCTGTTTTGACAAGCACGTTTCAATATAATTGGAAATCTTAAAACATCACTTTCAAATAATTGTTGGGCCAAAGGAGACACTGTTGATCATTTAAAAATATTTACAGTTTAGAAACTAGCAATAATGAAATTATGTTCTATCAAAACGTGCAGGGTGTAGGTTTAGAGGGGTAATATTTAGAAGAAAGTGGCAAGTGGATGAATTAACTTTCAAGTCAAGAAGTGAGAGAAAAAACGTGTAAATCCAAAGAACGTCTGAATGGTAGGATTAATAAAAATTAGTGCAGAAATTAATATAAATAACAGAGGTGATCAACAAAGTCAAAAGATTAATAGAAAGAGGTCTCTTGTGTCATGGCTAGAGAAGTGAACACGCAAACAAGAGGTGTTAGAGATGAGGACGGAGATGCAGCCAGGTGTTTAAATTATAGGAGAATAAAGCAAACAGTTTTATGCCAAGACTTCTGCATACTCGACAAAAATGGGCAATTTCCCAGAAAAATACAATTTAACAAAACCAACTCAAGAAGAGGGGAAGGTAATTCCCCATGGGGAGGCTCTCCCAGGTGCAGAGTGAGGACTGAAAACACACTGCACGTGTACCGACTCGTAGTCAACGACCGTGGGTCGCGTCTGCACCCCCAGCGGTGCTGAAGAAGCCGGGGTGCAGCAGGAAGTGAAAGGACCCCAGCCGCGCGCTCGCCGCCCGTTCCGTCCGGCAGGACTCCTGCGATGATGGACGTGTTCTTCCTTGTCCTTGTCCGGTGTGGCAGCCGTTGGCCATGCCAGCCGCTGTCTTAAGCTCTTGAAGCCAGATGTGGCCGTGGGTATCTAGCTAATAAGGTCAATCATGTGTTAGTGACTTCCTGTAAGAGAATAAGTTGCTGAACTCGTGGGACCCTGACCTTCTGGAAGCAGCTTCTCAGTCTGAGGTGGGCAGTCCTGGCAGCCAGACAACCCCGCGATCCTGCCTCACCTGTCACTTCACAGACAGAGGACGCCTGGTAGGACGTGCGATGCCCTTCTGCTGTGACTCCTTACAGGGCGTCCTGTCTGCTTCTGTTTTTCAGGGATGATAATGGTGATCTTCCTGCTGCTCGTGGCTATCGTGGTCGTCGCAGTCTGGCCTACCAACTAGTGGCAGTCAGGGGACCACCTGCTGTGACCCCTGCCAGGGAGGGGGACACGCTCAGCGTTCTCCTGGTTCACGAAAGCCGCCCTCAATAAACACCCCCAAAGCTCTGAACTCTTGACGTGCGTTGCTTCAGCAAAGGTGAACCACATGGCGGCTTCGGACAGCTGCCTGGGTATCAGGCGGTGTGGCCCTTTGGGTCCTGCCTTGACCATCTGGGTGCTAGCCCAAGGTCCCTCGGCAGTCACCGTCCCCATGGCCACCCTGCAGCATGCTGGGCACCCTGGGGGGTGATGCTGAATTCATAGGTAGCTTGTAGCCTCGAACGTCTGGTCTGCTCGGGGAAGTTCTGTGCCCACGTGGGGCACAAGTGAACAGCCAAGGCCACGTGTGTGCAGGCAGGGAGGAAGGGGTGACAGGAGCGCTGTTACACAGACACGTGTCTTGGTGTAACTGCCGCTCCGCCCAGGCCCCTCCCACCCCGAGCCTCAGCAACCCTAGAGGTGAGATATTTCTGGACTCACCTTCAGACCTAGGAGCACGTTCTTTTTTCTTTCCTCGGACAGTAAACTCTCTTTCAAGACTGAAACATCTTTATAAGCAGCCGGCATCAAGTCTGTCGTATCGGTGGGTGGGATGAGAAATGATCAGGAGGGAGCGTGTTTAGGCTTCAAAGAAAGTGTGGTTATGACGTCAGGACAGTGCCGCTGGCTCCTTATCCAGCCCTGATGTGTATCCTTACATGCGTGTGAGTGTTCATTGCAGACATGTGTGCTTGCATGGATGGTGAGAACAGACAGATGGCCAGGCCTGCAAAGGGTGTCCGGCCTGAGGGAGCGGCAGTGAGTCTGGGCTGGAAGGGGCAGAGGGCCACGCTTCGCGCCTGCCCTCCCAGCTGGACGGAAGGCAGGCCGGGCTGGCGGGCCTCGCCCTCCACGGCTCAGGGGGGAAAATGAGGGCTGGTGCTGGGCGGTTTCCAACCATAAGATCTCACTGAGGAAGAGGAGAGAACAGGCGTGGGGCGGGGGTCCTGGGGGCGTTCCCCTTGGATTTCCTAGAGACCACCAGTGACTGCTCTCCAGAGGGTGCAACCTGGCCACTCCCGCCACCACCACCCCAACCCCTGGGACCAAGACAGGCACAGGAGGACCACGGTGCAGCCTGGCACAGCATTATTTCCTGGGACCCTGAGGCCTGAGACTCCGGTGCACTGGGAAGAGCTGGGTCCAGACCCCAGCCCTCCATCAGAAGAGAGTCACGGCTCCGTGCTTGGTCAGTTGTGAGTCGCTGCAGAGGGTGGGTGACCTCTCTGGGCAGCTTTTTCCTGGGGGGGCCGGGTCCCTTCCAGGCCCTGCCTGGCCCCACTTCCACCTGGTGTGTGTGTGCCTGTGTCTGGCGGCGACCCACGGCCCTCACCCAGGAGGCAAGCTGGCCCTAGACCTGGCCTGCCCAGGTTCACACTTGGACTCCACCCTGTATCAGCCAGGACAGCGCTGCAGTCACAGCCACCAGGTCCGAACAGTGTGGATGGGTCCCAAGCGTCAGTGCCTCAGTCCTGCTGCACGTCCATGCAGCTCGACCAGGGGCTCCAACCCGGGCTGTGCCCACGGGCTCCGGCAGAAGAAAGGGGACCCTGGGAACCCTCACACCAGCAGCGGAATGCTCTGCCCAGATGTGACCCCATCACCGCTGCTCGCAGCTCCCTGGGCCTGGACTGGGTGCTGGGCAGCCCCAGTGACCACCACGCCAGTTTCCAGCTAAGTGACCGCAAACACAGTCCCCTTCTGTGCCTCCGTTTCCTCCTCTAGGAACTGGAAAGAAGATGGTCTCCTGGTCCGCGGGTTGCCGCGAGGGTCAGGTGAGTCAGCACGTGTGAGCGCAGCGCCCCCTGCGTGGCTCAGCTGAGGTTCTTCCGCTTACTGGAGTCTACACCCGCTGGGGCACATGGTCTCCACATGGGCTCGGGGGTCCTCTCGTACAACCCAGTGCACCAGAGCAGATGCTGTGAGGACGTGAGGGCAGCAGGGCAGGGCAGCTCTCCTGTCAGGACCCAGTGCCTGCCGATCTCCGGGGCTGCCCGCACCTGCAGACCTGGGCGAGGCCCTGGCGGTGGGGCCCGGGCCCGTGCTCGGTCGGGCGATGGCCCAGAGATGGGAGCCGGGCAGGCGTGAGCGTGACGGGCTGGCAGGGACTGGGACTGGGGAAGCAAAGGATTGGCTCGCTTCAAGGCGGGTATGCTCCCAAAGGAGAGGGGCCGGGCTGGACGGGGCCCACGGGCTCTCGGGTGGCAAGGCGCCTTCCTGGAGGGGTGGGGGGACAGTTGCTACTGGACCCCCCGATGGAAGGTCAGGCATCTGCCGAGTACATCTTTCAGTCTTGTGCAAAACCCCAAATCTGTGTAAACAGCGTCTCCTTGGAGCTCCCCACTCTGGGGCTCGTGGGAGGTGGCATTGAAGGTCTGTTTGACTTTCTCACCTCCTCTTGACTTGCTCAGCATGGAGCCCCGGCAACTCACGGGGTGGCTTTGAACCAGAGCCACGGCGTCCTGGCTCAGCCACGAGGACAGGCCTGTTCGAGCCAAACGCTGAGCTGATGTCTGCACGCAGTGGCCTTTGTTCCTTTGAGTGGGCTCTAGGCCCGGTCCGGCACCGCTAGCTGGGTGACCCGGACCAGTGACTTCACTTCTGTGGGCCTGCAGGCAGGGGAGGGGGTGAGACGCTGGTCAGGCTGGGCCGTGAGGACCTGCTGTCCTGGCCTGGGCAGTGCCGGGCCCAGGGGCGGGTTGGTGCCTAGCAGTGAGGGGCTCCCCTTTTCTCCGCTTCCTTGGGGTGGGCCTCTCACGTGAGACCCCCCACCCCATTCTGAACTGAAGGGCAGCCCCAAATTGGCAAAGCATCACAGTGGCTGGGGCGAGCCACTTCGGGGGTCAGTTGTATTGGGACCCATCCTGGAGTCAGGGCATTTTCCAGCTGCGTTCGGCCAGGCCTGGTTTTCCCCCTCAAAGGCGTCAGGCCCATGGTCCCTGGTGAGCTCCGAATCGGTGACGTGGGCAATGCGACCACAGCCTCAGTGCAGAGGAGAGAGGGCAAGACCCCTCACCTCGGCTGCGTTTTCAATGAAAGTAGGCTTTATTCAGATAACAGTATGAGTATTGTTTAACTTCACTGATTATTAATTATAAGCTTTTAAAGTCTGGATGCCATATAAAGAAATCCAGATACCTGGTTACAACTGGTACTTTTGTTCCCTTGAAGCTTCATCATTAATAACTAACTAAACCTGCCTTCACTGGCCTGAGGATGGCCTGCTCCTTTCAGGACCCTGGCCCCTCCTTCCACGAGGCTGCTGAGGGGTCCCTGCTGGCCCGTCTGCTTCCAGAGCGGTTGGGCTCCCTCCTGACGGGTCGGTCCTCTGAGCCCTGGTGGCCGGCCTATCGCTGCGTTTTCCCTCCCAGTCAGCAGAGCGGCCTCAGCATCCTTAGAGCCCCTCCGCCTGCCCGCCCAGCTCCAGGTTACGCCGAGAGCTCTTTGCGTAGACTAAAGATCATCCTTCACCTCGTTGGGTTTCTCACCCAGCCCTGCGGAAGTTAAGTGGGGTTATTCCTCCTTTATTTCAAAAAGCAGGCCAAGACTTTCTTCTAATCGCTTCTTAGGGCTTCGGAGTTCCCTCAGCCACACGCCAGGAGCAGCAAGCATCCCCCTCCTTCCAGATTGACCTGCCGTCCCGCTGAGTCTCGGTTTGATACAGTGCAGGATACGGACGGATGAACTCAGTACTTTATTTCTCACCGGCTCTGTTCGTCCTTTCACTGCTCGTTTTTCTTGGCATATTTCTTACACGTCTTTATTTAGTCTTAGAAGAGCACAGACAGAGCTGTCTGTTCAACAGAACCTGACGCCTGGGTGCGTCTCTGCTGCGAGGGCGGTCCCTGTCCCACAGGGCGGGTCACGAATGCGTCAGCCTCCCTGAGAGCTGGCCAGACCCTGGGGGGCTCGCTCACCCTCACCCAGCGGGGTCTGGGCTTTTGACTGGACCCCGCTAGATCTTGAGTCCCTGATGGGCTCACTGACATCCCTGTGCCTCGGCATTCCAGTCCCTAAAATGGACTTTTCCAACCACCTTGGCTCAGTACTTTGCAGCCAGCCTGCTGATTTCCTGCATGGAGTTGGGCCGACATCCATGCCTTCTCTCCTCAGCTGGAGCGTAAGGCCCAGGGAGGCGGTGGAGCTGCTGCTGATCCATGTTCTGATGTCTCTGATCAACAGTGTGCTCGCTCGCTTCAGGCCTCGGGCCGGGGGCTGCAGCTGCCAGCACAGGGCCTGGCGGTGGTGGAGTCCTGAGGGGGACGGCACCCTTGGGCACAGACTTTTTATGAAGGACAGAAAAAAGCCACATCATGAAGGTCCTTGACAACTGGGACCTGGACCTAAAATGACTAAGCCAAGAATCCAACTTCCAAGCACCGCCCAGAGCACTTACCCAGGTGCCCGTCAGTGCTGGCACCGGTCCAGCCGGGTCTGAACTGGCTTTGAGGAGAGCCTGAGGCGGCAGAAGAGGCTTGCTTTCTCCCCGGCCCATCTGGCCAACTGAGACCTGTATCCTGTCCCTGCCCACCCAGTGGCAGGCGCTGCCGTTCTGGCAGGGACCTCCATGGGGCCCACCCCCGCGTCTGCCCCCCCACCCTGGCTTTGACCCCTGGTTCCGGGCGCCCAGCTCCCGCTCCTAGAGCCGGGCCCTGGAGGAGGCTGGGCGGGCCTGGTGGGCGCTCCCCGCAGCAGGCAAGGGCTCTCCACGCCGTCCAGGGGCCGGCTGAGCCTGCGTGGCGAGGCTTGTCTTCGAAACAGCTGGGCGCAGAAGTTTACAGCTTCCAGCCGACCATTGGCTCCACTTCGCGTGGCAACGCAATATGTTCCTAATGACTGGATTGTTTATTTAATAGAGAAATCACAACCATTTGGAGGTTTAAATATAGCTTCACAGAAACCCAGTGAGCGCAGCGCCTGGTGGCTGCGTGGCGCTGGCACCGGCCCAGTCCCTGCACCGCACAAAGCCCTAGCAATGGTTTGAGAAAAATTCTGGAGGATCACTAACCCTCTTGTCTTTGCTGGTGAGTCTCCTCTTGGCTTTGAGTAGAAGAAACTGGTTCTGTGAAAGGTAAAACCTCTACTTGCATGTTCTGAGTCAGATGGGGAGGTTCAAAGGTGAGCTCTGCCCTGTCCCCTGGGGTCCCCCAACCTGGAGCCCCAGGGAGTGGCAAGGACAGAGCCCAGGGATGGGTTCTCAGGGACTGAATAAGATTGTCCCATGTGAGAGCCTTTTAGCTCAAAATCGCATTCAGAGCCAGCAAGCCCCTAGGACCTTCCAAGGAACTTTTCCTGTTTTTTTTAGGGGATAGTTGGGAGTTGTGTCTCAGGCTTTCTGAAAAACTAGGGGCTCTGTTGTGCTGGGGAGTTTAGACCAGAAGCCATATTCCTTAAATGGCCTGGAGACTCTCCCCACATGCCGACCACCCATAGCTCGGGCCACCAGTAAAGACTAGGAGACAGAGAACAGTGTACAAGAGTTTATTTAATTGATATCTGAATTTAGTTCTAGCATGTGGGGCCCACGTTACAAGTTCCATCTGGGTCCATTACAACTCTAACCAAAACAAAAAAACAAAAAAAATCCACAACTTTTTCCATGTCATTAAATATATTCATATATAATAACCATAATATATTAGTATGCATTGGAAAGGAACACTGACCCAAACAATATGTCATGGTCACAACTAAACATTTACAATTCTGAGTGAACAGAACTCCGAAACGCAGCAGGGGGTCGGGGGGGAGGTGCCTTGGGGAGCAGGGGAAGGGGGTGATGTCTGATGACCTAGGGAGTGGGGCTGGCCTGGCTTTGGCGGGGTGCAGCCCCACGAGGACACAGTTCGGCACCCCTAGGGTATGGCACGGCTGTGGCCGTGAACCGTGGCCCAGTAACCACATCAGTGAGTCTAGTTGGTCCACTCTCCAGTCTTCCCTTGAGCACTGAGGCCCTGACATTTTTAAATCTCCTACAGGGACCGTTTCTTGACCCCTCAGGGTCTCCTGGATTTCAGTCTCATTCCAACCTGGGCCAAACCAAAGACCGTCTGCACCCGTCTCCTGCGGCTGCTGCAGAGGCAGGGCACCAGGTGGTCATGACGGGCCCCGGGGCAGCGCCCAGCCACCCTGGCTTGGACAGCAAGTCTCCCTCCCTCCCGTCTGTGGGGACCTGAGGCTGCTGCCTCCTACCTTGCTTGCTCCAGACAGAAGCCACCTCCTGCAGGTGAGTCCAAGGGGCAGTCCCCCATCGATCCCCCTTCCTTCCACCCCAGTCTTCAGCGTTACTGTGTCAGAGAGGGAGGGACTCTGCTGTCAGGGCCTCCAGACCACCCAGCAGGTAAGAAAAAGGACAACTGGGGACTCTTTCAAAAAAAAAAAACTAATCGGGTATGTTTTTCTTCAAAAACCTACATATCACAACTCTGATTAATACACTCTTCAAAATCTAGTTCCATTTTACATCCTTTCCTAACTGTACAAACCGGAACACTTCACTGCCTGTTTCCATCTCCTCCCAAGGGAAAGGGGGGCAGGGGAGGAAGAGGGGTGCTTTCCCACCGATGGGTCCTCACTGCTGAAGTGGTGGCTGGATTTGGAGGCAGGTGGGCTGGGTTTGGGCTGGGCCCACGCAGTGGGGAAGGCAGCCTGTGAGGACTAAAATCCCAACAGTGTCCTCACCGCAGCCTGGCTGATCTGGTCACCCGGACACTCCCCAGAAGCCAGGCTACTTTGCCCTCAGGGTGCTGAGCAGGAGGGCAAGGGTGGAGGGTGGCCGAATTTAAAGCAAGATGCATTGCTGCTTTTCAGGCTGCTGGCTCCAGACCAGAGGGGCCCGGAGACCATCAGTGCAAGCCCCCCGTGGACCTGGGGGGAGACTCAGGCCCAGGGTGGGAGGTGGCGGGGCCACTACGGCCCTTCTGGGCAGGGCAGAGAAGCCAGGCTGGTGTGAACAGAAACGAGACCACCGCCAGACCACTGCCCTAGCTGGGCAGTGCCTCTCAAGGACTGTGGGCCGACAGTAGGTACTCCGACCACGCTGGGCGTCGGGGGAGGGCTGACTGCCGTCTCAGGGTTGTGAAGATGACGGGAGCTCACAGGGGTGCCTGGCACAGAGCAGGTGCTCGGGTGATGGCGACCGGCTGCAGGCCCAAGTTGGGGAGGCCAAACCGTTCAGGCCCGGGCTTCATACTTGGTATGACCCTTGTGATTAGCCAAACTCCAGCAGGGAAAAATGAAACCAATCTCCTGACTGAGTGAGGAGCCCGGCCTCGAATTCATTGTGCAGGTTGTGAGGAAGTGGACCAGGGACCCCTGGGCGGTGCTGGGGGTGGGGGGCATATGGCCCCAGGGCTGGCCCTGTGTGAAGCCATCAGACACCAAGGCCTGGGGCATGGTATCTCCAGGAAGCTTTGGAAAGGGGGCAGCCAGAAAGGAGTGGGCGAGGTGCGGCCCAGGCTGTTCAGGACAGCCACAGGGTGGGGGTGGCTGCAGCAGGCTTTCTGGGCCAAGCAGCCTCTTGTCCGTTCGCTGGCGGAGCCAGGAGTGAGGGCCGCCACAGGAAGCCGTCATGGCTTTCTTGGTACCCGAGAACCTAGTGGTTCCTGCCCCTGCCCGTCCCTGGCATGGGTCCTCCAGCAGCTCACTGAGCCAGCAAAGTGGTCCTGACTCCAGCAACCCCTTCCCCCAGCCGGGCCCAGATTCCTTCACAGCCTGCGTTCCAGGCCCTTCCCAGCTGTTGACACTGCTGAGAGGCCTTATGGGAGCTGATGTCATTACACAAATAGTGTCACTGCCATAAACCCAGCCAGTGCCCCCCCCCCCCGGAAAATGTCATAAAGGAGCTGCTTCCAACTTTCCAGAAAGGAAACTCTCTGGGAGGTTTTTGCGTTCGCAGTGCCTCCTCCAACAGGCAGCTCCGGCATGAGCAGTGACCGACCACCCGGCTTGGGCTTCTCAGGGGTGTCCTTGGGCCCACTGCCCTCTGCCCAGGCCCGCACCCCCCGCCCCTCAGCTGGGCGGGGGCAGGACCAGCAGGGGCTTGGCGGCTGTGGCTACACAGGCTAAACCCCACCCAGGAAGGCCTTTGTGGCAGGTGATGGTGGCCCACCTGGGTAAGGCTGGCTGGACAGCAGACGGGGCCCAAGTTGTCACAGCCAGGGTTTCTGTGGGAATTCCCAAAGAAAAGTCGGGGGGACAGGAAAGGATTTTGGGTCATCTGTTAAGGGTGGTGGTTTGGCCGGGCTGGCTCAGCCCCCGCCGGACTGCAGGCCTGAGTTCA